CCTCGGCAATGACCTTTGCTTTAGTTTAGGATGTGCCTTTTGATAGAGAACTGGACCTTTGACCTGCTCTCACGTTTCTGGGTCCTGGCGAGATAACCCTTCACGATGCTTTACCTTTACAAGGGCCTGTATCGGGTAAAGGCCCTTTTAAACCCAATGGACCTGATTTTTTCAGGATTTTTTCAGGATTTTTTCAGGATTTTTTCACTCATTTTTTCAGTAAATCCCCTGGGAGGTAACAGCTCCCACTGATCGATGCAGTCCCGCCTCCATATGACCCTGTATTTTGTCAGGGTCCTCAATCCCTCATCGTGCCAGGCTATTTTCTCTGCCAACACGGGATCCACCACATGTGCACATAGAGATGCGCACCATCCTGACATCCCCCACGCCCATCAGCAATCAGAACCCCCCAGGAGCAAACTGCCAACCGGGACCCGATTCCCCCCTAATGCAGACCCCAACCCACAGCAACCGGTATGCGAATGGCTGTGCGCTATGAGAGCGTGAACCGGCATACTTTGCGCGAGGTAACGAATTTGAACCCGCAACCTCAGACCACAATGCGCATTTCTAGCCGGTGTCCTCACCACTTGGACTCTTGGCCATTCGCACTGCAAATGATTATCAGATAGTGAAAATCATAGAATTGCGAATAAAAAAAGAATTACGAAAACAAAGTGAAAAAAAAATTTCGGAATTACTCAGATGAGAGTACGCGCAGTTTGGAAAATGGTAACTGCAAGAGGGATTTCCCATACCGTTAAAAAAAAAAAAAGCAGTTTCGGTAATTCAGAAAAATATATTCCGGATTTCCAAATAATGGGAAATTGCAAAAGGAAATCAAAATTTTCGAAAAAAAGATATTCCGGATTTCCAACAACGAAATTTCGAATTTTCAGAAAAAAACGAAAACGGAAATTTCAGGTGTTTCGCTATTGCGATTTTCCACAACAGAAATAGCGAGAAAACAAAATCCAAGAAAAGAAAAAAAAATTCGATTTTCGGCAGTTAGGTCAAAATCGTGATCTGCAATCAGACTCGCTTTCTTTCCACTTCGCACACATGCAAACAGATGGAGACTCACACTGGCGCAGGGCGCCCACTCAAAGCTTAGAGATATAGAAATCAAGAACGCAGTTCAGATGCAAGTTCTCTTCAACATGGCGCATCAGCGCCTGAAAATCCCAACCTTCGTCACTGTGTCCAACCCCGCTGTTCACACGCTCACTCTGGATCACCCTGAATACCACCACACAGTTAACGCTATGTCTAACTTCCTCCTACAGCGGCTATGGCCGCACTACCACTACCGACTATGGGTACGATCTCCCTTCAGCCCACTTCGTCTTCGGGCAACCTGCAGACCACCTTCGTGCAAGACGCTGTAGCAGCGCTTCCGCAAGTCTTACGCAGCAAATGAATGAATGGCTGAGCGCTGCCGCTTGATTTATACTTCTGTAACCTGTGGTCTGCCCCTTTCCATCAGCCCATGGTGCACACAGTCCCTCTTGGTACTTGCTGGACTGGACTGGGACTGACTGGACCGGTACCGCTGACTGCATGGGTTTGCACTGCCAACTCGATGCAGTCGCACTGCCGACGTAACGCAGTTGGGCTCACCACTTGCCCACTTGCCTCTGTCTAAACGTGAGACAAACTTCAAAAGGCTGCTTCCGGAGCTTCCGGAAGTCTGTGGGCTTGGCCTTTCGCATACTGTAGCAGCTACGACCTTGACCTTTCAGGACTGTAGCAGCTACGACCTTGACCTTTCAGAATGCCTATAGCTATGACCTCTACAAAGTTGTGACCTCTACTCGACAGACCTACAGATCAAATCCCTACATCTACACAGTCCTGCGACAGACAACAACAACTAACGAAACACAGGTCACGGGTTCAAACACTCGGGGGTCAACTCGATACTGTACATGGGTAAGGTAAGGTCTGGGGATCGAACCCTGGAATCTGCATCTGCCTCTGCAAAGGTGAAAACCGTTTCAGATCTTGGGGGCTAATTAGTATGCTCTAATCGATTAATCAATCAAAACTAATTAACTACTAAGTCCCCGCACACGTGTCAGATCTGGTTGTGCTGATTCACGTGTGGTGGTCCGATACCAACTGTTACATACCCAGTTGGGCGATGTACATATATAGCCAAGGATCCGCAATGTGATGGAAAGGACTGAATGGACAATACAGTACTAGTAGAATCTCAACAAGCAGTGTACATTCTGATACATACAAAAATGGTGCTTTGTAGCACAGTGGAAGACTTAGATAAAAGTCCTGACCTGACAGGGACTGACCTCCCTCACGTAGTACAGGACAGCGTAGCGAAATGCTAGAATACCAATGGCTAGTCCAACCAATGTCGCAATGCAGACCCAACGTACATCATCCTCATCACAAGGTGTGAAGGGGCCTGGCGCTGCACACAGGAAGAATGCGCCAGGTCCAGACCATACACAGACGAAGAGGAGGGGATCANCATCATCCTCATCACAAGGTGTGAAGGGGCCTGGCGCTGCACACAGGAAGAATGCGCCAGGTCCAGACCATACACAGACGAAGAGGAGGGGATCAGACGAAGAAGAGGGGGAAGATGGGAATGTCGTCAACACCAAGCCTTCGGTACACGTCCCAGATAATCCCTCGTCAAAGGTCTGGAGCCCAATGTCAAGTCTGGATCCAAATGTCACCAATCCCGCTCTCTCTTTTGTAGTCTGCTGATGCAGTGAAGTCAGGTAGCGAGAGGGTGAGAGGGAGATGGTGGACTGAGAAGAGGTGGAGAAGAACTCTCTCTCTCTCTCTCTCTCTCTCTCTCTCTCTCTCTCTCTCTCTCTCTCTCTCTCTCTCTCTCTCCTGTGAAGATGGCGCTGTGCTGCAGGTACCTCGAAGACGAAGCTGGTGCCATGGCGCTGCAGGTAAGTCTCCCTGGCCTCCGCCCAATCTCTCTCTCTCTCCAGTACTACTCTAGCTCCTACTAGCGCCCAGCGCTGAAGACTACTGCTAATGCTACTACTACTACTGCAGCGCTCCTCCAGAGTTCTGCTGCCGAATCCTGAAGACTACCTCCTGCCTCCTGAACTGCACGCGAAGTGCCTGGGAAATCCCTATGAACTAACTGCAGCCTGCAGGGGGGGGCAGTCTTATATAGTGCTGGCCCGTCCAGGAGGCTGATCTTGCCAATGCCAAAACGTGCCAGACCCTGGCGTTGAAGCTCAAACAAAGGTTGTCTTGAAAACAGGCCCAAAATGGCCTGTGCTAAAACCCTGGTCTGGTGCCTGTGTTTCAGGGCAGGCTGATCTTATGAGGGCCTGAAAATGGCCCTCCGTTTCAGGCTGAAAAGACTCAGGGCCTGGAGGGCCCTGTTTTAGGCTGAAACGACACAGGGCCTGTAGGCCCTTGCTTTCAGGCTTTCAGGCTGAAGCGACACAGGGCCTGTAGGCCCTTGTTTTCAGGCTTTCAGGCTGAAACGACCTAGGGCCTGAAAATGGCCCTCGTTTGCAGGCGCAACATGTAACAACCCCCCTCCTTATGAAGTCAAGTCGGGTCGAGGGCGAAGCTGACGGTCTGAAGGTGGAACCTGGACGCGGGTGCAACGTGGAGCCGAAGATACCGACTTACCTTGCATTTTGCGGTCGTAGCGTGCGAGAACATCTGGAGCTGTTACTTGGAGTTCAGCAAGGGTCAACCAACGGTCATCTTTGTGGGTGCAGTACGCAAAGTGTACCAATCATTCGGTCGGCCAGTTGCCGTAGCGTTACAAGGAGATGATGTTGCCGACCTCTTGAACACCGTCCATAGAGGGTGGGTCCTGTGATCGTCGCCCGGGAAAATCGTCATGTTCCGCTGGCGTGTAAAGAGCCAACTTGGAGCAATGAAAGATCGGGTAGACGGGCAAGTGGGCGGGCACCTGAATGGTGAAGGAAGGTCCTTCAGGTGCATCCCCAGGGGGTGCCACGATGGGCCAGGGCCCCATCCATTTCGGGAGGAGCTTGCAAGAGATATCTTGTTCGACGATGAACTCCTCGGCGAAAACCCAAACGAGATCACTTGCAAGGAATGAACAAGGAAGACACAGGCGATTGGCATGTTGGCTCATGCCTTGCTGCGTCTTAGCCATCTGGTCGCGTGCCTTGACAAGTAGCTCTTGCATCTGATGCAAGAAAAGAAGATGGTCGTTGCTCTCGGCCGCTTGTGGAATGATTGTGTCCAACGGAGAAGTGACCGGCGAGCCGTGCTCGAACTTGGAGGGCGACATCCCGATAGCCGGGTGGATGGACGAGTTGTATGCCAACTCAACATCTGACAACCGCTCGGCCCAATCCTTTTGGTCGGGACAAATGAGAGTGCGAAGGAGAACCTGTGCGGTCTGATGCACCCTCTCCGTTTGGCCATTTGTTTGGGGGTGGCGAGCCGAACTTGGCTTGAGAGATGAGCCCCATCGTTTGATGAGCACCAACCAAAAATCGGACCTAAACCGAGTGTCGCAGTCGCAAACGATTTCCTTGGGGTAATCCTTGGTTCGAATCCAACCGGCGTAAAGAACCTCGGCCAACTCCGGTGCCTTGGCATGATAGCGGCAAGGCAAAAACATGGCGAACTTGCTGAGTCGGTCGACCACCGTGAGAATCCCATCTACACCGGTTTTGTGCTTGGGGAACGCCTCAATAATGTCCATGGCAATCGCTTCCCTTCGGTGCAAGGTGACCGGTAATGGTCGCAACTCGCCGTACGGACGATGGTTGCGAGATTTGCAGCGTCGACAAACCCTGCATGACTCGCAATAGCGTGTGACGTCGCCGAGAAGGTCGGACCACCAAAAGCGCTCGTGAACTCGCCAAGAAGCCGTGTATTGCAAGTGAGAGTTACTCGGTATGCAAAGAAGATCCTTCCCCCACGTGTGGACAAGCAAGTAGCCCTCTTGGATCCGGTGGTGAGAAGGCGCCGAATTAGGAGAGGAGCGATTCCCGTACTTATCGCGAAACTCGGGGTCGGCTTGGTAGCCGCGGATGAAGCTGCCCCGCAGGTCGTCGTCGATCTCGAAGGTCGAATAGACTGCGGTACAATGCTCCGCACGTCGTGAAAGAGCATCTGCAAAACGGTTAAACTTCTCCGGAATGTGGTCAGGAAAGAAGTCGAATTGGTCGATGAAAGTCATCCAACGGGCGATGGTGCTATTGAAGGTGTCTTGGGTCTTGTAGAAGACTAACGGATTGTTGTTCGTTACCCATCGGAATTGACTTCGACCAAGGAGGAAGTGCCTCCACCGCTTGAGCGAGTGGACGAAGGCTAGGAGCTCTTTCTTGCGTGCATCATCAATGGAGTGCACGACGGGCACTTTCTTGCTGAAGTACTCGGCCAGGTGCCAGTCCATGCCATCGTGTTGTTCGAGGACGACACCAATGCTATAGCCGGACACATTCGTAGTGATGCGCGTTGGCAATAGCGGGTCGTATATGCGCAAGAGCTCCGCAGATAATAGCGCGACTTTGAGAGCCAAAAATGATTCCCGCGCATCCTCGCTGAAGTCAAACGACCGCTCCTCGCATTGAAGCTTGGTCAAGTAGGCCGCAATCTTCGAGTATCCCTTGGTAAAACGTTGATAGTAGCTGGCAAGGCCAAGGAATGAACGGACATCCGTGACGTTCTGCGGCTCTGACCACTCTTGGATGGCTTGAATTTTGTCTGAGAACGGACTGATGCCCTCCGGTGTGACAAAATGGCCCAAGTATTCCAACTCTTGCCCGACAAATTCGCACTTGTCGCGGTTGGCTTTGTACTTGGCGCGGTGGAGCGTCTCCAACACTCGTCGAAGGTGCTCAAGATGATCCTCCGATGTCTGGCTATAGACGAGACGTCTAAGTAGACAAGCACGAACCGGTCGAACATCGCACATAACTCGTTGGTCATTGGCCCAAGAAACGTCGTTGGGGCATTGGTGAGGCCAAAAGGCATAATGACCCACTCAAAATGCCCGTACCTCGTCTTGAATGCGGATTTGTAGCGATCTTGTGGGTGTATCAAGATTTGGTGACAGCCCGTCGTCAAGTCCAACTTCGAGAAGAATTTCGCGCCGCCCAAACGCTCGAGGAGGTCGTCAATCTGCGGAAGAGGTCCCACATTCTTGACGGTTTGTGCGTTGAGTTTGCGGTAGTCGATGCACAAGCGAAGATCCATGTTCTTCTTCCGTACGAAGAGAACTGGTGCACCTATGGTGAGCTACTAGGGCGGATCTAGCCCTTGTCCAACAGATCATCGAGTTGCGTGTGAAGAACCGCGAGCTCTTCCTTGCTCATGCGATAGATGCATCCTTTCGGCGGCACGACACCGACCTCAAGAATGATCTCGTGGGAGATCGGCCGATCCGGCACCACACCGGTAGGAGACTCGAAGATGTAGGTGAACTCGTCGAGCAGCCGCACCACTGGGGGGTCCAAAGACAAGTTCGTAGGTGAAGATTCGATCGTCGCAAGGGTTCGTAGAAAACATAGGCCTATCTCGTCGGTCCGCTCGTAAGCGCAAGTGGCCCGAAAAGACTTGGCTGTTACAACTTGACACCGGATCGAGGGGTGCGGAGGAGGAATGGTACACGGCACCTCGGCGCCGAAGGCGTCGCGGACGGTAAGTGTCTGATGATGGAAGTTAACCGTGTGATCCTCACTTGCAAGCCAAGGCATCCCCAAAATGATGTCTAAGTCCGTGTCCAAGACGTCAAACGTTACCGGTTTGCAGGCATGAGGTGCGAAATAAACCGGCACAACTTCAATGTAGCGATCGAGGAGTTGTTGCATCCGACCGTCCGCCAACATGATCGCCGTTGGGTTTGGCTTTCTTCGAACTTGTGCGCCAAAGCCGGCCCTTTGGATAAAGGACTAGTTGATGAAATTTTGAGTCGCGCCGCTATCAAGCAAAGCGCTGCAGGACGCTTGCCCAACTTGGATGCGGACATAAAGGAGCGGTGCATTGTTATTATCGTACCGTTGCATGCGAAATTCGCGGGCCACGTTGCTAACATACGGAAGTATGTCCCCCACCGCAACTTCGTCATGCGTCGGCGAAGGTGGTGGTGCATAGAAGGCTAAGTATGTGTGGAGATGGGCGCATAATGTTGCGCATTGCGGTCCCGATAAGCAGCCTGTGGAAGGGAGAGGAAGCCATGCAAAATCCTCGGACGTCAATGGGTCCAAGACCTCTATGTTGAACTCGTGCGTCGAATCCCTTGAAGAACCACTTGAAGACGATTCATTGTCGCTGTTGTTGGACAGAGAAGAAGCCGCACACACATCTTGTCCTTGAGCTTGAGAACCCAGCGAACGAACGAGCCGGGCAGCATAGTCCTCATAAGAACATAAGAGATGACTGTCGACTTCCACATGTACCTCGAAATGAAGAGATTGGTCGCGAAGCAACCGGTTCCTAAGGCGTCAAGAGTGCAGCCGCATCACTCTCAGCGGTGCTCACTTTCCCGAAGGGAATTTGCCTTTGACTTGCGTGAGGCACTGAGCGGTGTCGTGCACCGCGCTGTTGCACCACAAACAATATCGATACTTAGTACCGATGCGGTAAACGCCTTTCGAGATACTGTAATGTGTCCAAGACTCTTGAGCTGCTGGCCCGGCCCCGGGAGATGAATTGGTGTGTGTCTTCGGTTTGCCGCGTCCTCGCCCTTCGGCGGGGCGGCCACCATCCCGAGCGGATGCCAATCTGTCTCCTTCATCAGAAGGGGCAGCCTCATTTGAAGGGTTGGTCGGCGTAGTTGCTGCGACCACGACCACGACCACTTTTGGTCGATGCTGATCTCTGCCCTAGCTCGCAATGGACGAACGTCCCAAATTCTTGGCTTCGGTGTTCGTCAGGATGATCTGCGAGGCTTTATCAAACAGCTGCTCACTTGTGGTGAGCGTCTCCGCAACTTGCGTCAAGGCGTTCTACAATGTCGGTCAACTCCTCCTGATGAAGAAGTGTTTGATGGCGACAAAGGTCGATGGCAAGATGGGTGTGGACGCCAAGCGTTGGTACTCGGTTATCCAGTCCGTGCTTGGCAGGTCGTTCTGATAGAACCGTTGAAGTTTCTTGGCTGCCCGCGGCTCGGGCGGCTCCACTTGGAACCGCTTATGCCATGCTGCCTTGAGATCAGCCCAGCTGATCTTCATATGCAGCTCGGAGACTGTGACGGTGTGCGTGGACAATATGTCGTCCTGCCATGCCTGGCACGCGCCCCCTGAGCAGGAGTATAAGTATGCGTGCCGGTTCGGGTTGCTGACGTGGTGAATGCCCAACTTCAACTCGAACTGGCGCCACCATGGAATCGGGTCCGTGTTCGCTGCATCGCAGAAGATCGGCAGACCATCAAACTTTGGGATGCTCTCGCGAGTAGTCGCGGTCGGACGGGCTGCGGCGGCACAAATCTGCTGGTCAATCTGCTGATTTGTCGCTAGAGCACCGTCCTTGAGAGTCCCGACGTCGATTTCCAAGACGTTGACGTGGTCCGTCAGGTTGTAAGGTCCGGCGGGGGTGGCTGTTGTGGGCTGCTGTTCCAGCCGGTGTACCCGGTCAAGTAGTTTGTTGATAAGTCGAGCCTGCTTCCGGACCAGGGTGTCCACGCAGAGGATGTCCTCTTGCTGTGCTGCACAGGTGGGGACCAAGTCGTTCACGTGTTCGATTGTGGTTGCAAGGCCATGCACAGCAGGGGGGGGATCCTCCTCTTCAGCAACCACTGCCCATTCGCTGGTGATCACCTTGATGTCCCCCTCAGATTCGAGGATTTTGTCTCGACGTAGTCGACGGCGTTCGTCTGCGGCCTTCCTTGCTGCCTCGGCATCCTCCTGTTGCTGTTGTTCAGCGAGGCGACGCTGTTCCTCTTCTTCCTCATCTTCCTTCTTACGTGCGGATGTTGCCGCAGCTTCCTGTTGCCTAACCTCTGCTACCATGTCCAGCATGCAGGTCTCATAGGCCTCGGTAGTCTCTCTCGGCTGCTGATCCATGGCACTTGTCTTTGCGCGGGTGAGCACCATGTAATGACGTGACCTGCTGCTGCGGTGACTGGTTGCTTATGTGGACTGCTGACGTGGCAACTCACCAATGCCGCTGCAGGGGGTACCCGGAGACAGATAGAGAAGACCAGAGGGGGCAACAACATAGGTGGGTAGGGGTGGGTTGATTGCCCAGATAATGAGCCACTAATCAAAAGAAGAAAAGCTTGAAATTTTGCAGAAAAAAATTCGAGAAATTAAAGAAATCCCTAGTTTTGCAAGTTCAGTAGGTCTCCCAATCTCCCTTGAAGTGCGAAATTACCAATGAGAAAAAAAAATCAGAATGCAAATGATTATTAGATAGTGAATTGCGAATAAAAAAAGAATTCCGAAAAGAAAATATAAAAAATATTCGGAATTACTCAGATGAGACTACGCGAAGTTTGGAAAATGGTAACTGCAAGTGGGATTTCCCATACCGTTTATAAAAAAAAAATGAATTTCGGTGATTCACAAAAGTATATTCCGGATTTCCAAATAACGGTAAATTGCAAAAGGAAATCGAAATTTTCAAAAAAAAGATATTCCGGATTTCCAACAGCGAAATTTCGAATTTTCAGAAGAAAAACGAAAACGGAAATTTCAGGTGTTGCGCCATTGGGATTTTCCACAACAGAAATAGCAGGAAAACAAAATCCAAGAAAATATTTTTTTTTTTGGATTTTCGTCAGTTTCGTCAAAATCGTGATCTTGGGGGCTAATTAGTATGCTCTTATCAATTAATCAATCAAAACTAATTAACTACTTAGTCCCCGCACACGTGTCAGATCTGGTTGTCCTGATTCACGTGCGGAGGTCCGGTACCAACTGTTACATGCCCAGTTGGGCGATGTACATATATAGCCAAGGATCCGCAATGTGATGAAAAAGACTGAATGGACAATGCAGTGCTAGTAGAATCTCAACAAGCAGTGTACATCCTGATACATACAAAAATGGTGCTTTGTAGCGCAGTGGAAGACTTAGATAAAAGTCCTGACCTGACCGGGACTGACCTCCCTCACGTAGTATAGGACAGCGTAGCGAAATGCTAGAATACCAATGGCTAGTCCAACCAATGCCGCAATGCAGACCCAACATGCATCATCCTCATCACAAGGTGTGAAGGGGCCTGGCGCTGCACACAGGAAGAATGCGCCAGGTCCAGACCATACACAGACGAAGAGGAGGGGATCA